GAGGGGAAGGTACAGCAGCTGCCCTGGGGCTTTCTCTTTTGGGGCTAAAGCTTGGAGGGGAGGATTTCAGCTCATGGTGGCTTGCAGACCGGCACTGGCAGTCACAACAGCCCAGCCGTGGGCCTGGCAGTGGTCTCCTGACATGAACCACTGCAACACCTGCAGTGACACAGGGAGCTGACAGGGGGACACAGGATGACTCCCTGACTGTAGCAGGGCTACCCTGGGCATGGGCGGACTAGAGACCCTGCCCGGTCACCCTCATCCTGACCCAGCTGCCTCCAAAGTCATCTTCACTGCTCCCCCAGGCGAGCCTCCCACTGCTTTGCCTATAAAATGGGTCTCAGCCACTGGCCCCTGGGAGCTCTGACATCTCCCCACAGGCAGCCTCCACCCTGCAAATCCAGGGCTGAGACAGCACCACCTGTCCCATCCCTGCCAATGTGGCTGCGAGAAAGCCTCCTGAGGAGGAGGAGGAAGAGGAGGCAAGGAGGGAGCAGCACTGCCCTCACCTCGCCAGAGCCACCTCTGTTCCCGAGCTGGGGCACTGAGCGACTGTGGCAGGAGCTTCCCAGCCGCCCGCTCTTAAGAGGCTCCCGGTAAGGACTAGGCTGTTTGAAGGCTGCACTAATATTTAGGACGTGTTGGGCTGAGGGAGAGACCGGCTTTGGAAATGGTTTGCCAGCTCCCCAGGGCGGCAGCAATGAGGTGCATCCTTCTCAGTGCTTCACGGTGGGCAGAGGGACATGCTCTACATTTGCAGTGAGAAAAACACAAGGGGGAAGATTTAGGAGCCCAGGTGGGCTCGGGGGGGGCCAAGGTGCATGGGGAGGTGGGGGTGACTCCTGAGTCTGGAGAAGGCACAGGGCTTGGGGGGGGGTCTTTGGCCACGGCCACCTCACCGCAGGTTTTGCACCGAGTCAGTGTTTGAGAGCTGGGCTGCGAAGGAGATGAAAAGGATTGAGGAGGGTCAGGACGGCCTTTCAGCCAGACCTTGCAGGGGAGCAGCATTAAGCAGCTGGGTTATTCCTCATCTGTACTGCAGTGGACTTTGAAAACCACTAGTACAAGAGCATTTTGCACTATTTCTCCGCGCTCTCTCTCTCTCTCTCTCTCTCTCTCTCTCCTCCCTCTCTTTTTCTCTCCCCTTCCCTTTGAAAACTTTCTCTTTTTTGTTGTTGGTTTTTTGTTGTTGATTTTTTTTCCCGAACGGAGCATTGTATATTTAACGATTGACAATTCACCTCGCTTCCAGACCGCTGTCCTGGCCCTGGCTAGGAACCCTATGTACTGTGCTCCCTTCCCTAGCCCAGCCAACAACCCCATCACTGCCACCGGGACAGACGTCACCACGCAAGTTATCTACCATTATAACACAGTTGTTAACACACCAGATTCCGAGTTTCCTGCCTGGTTTTTATCTTTAAGCAATACTCACTACACATTTTACGGTAGCTTTTTATAGCTTTACATACATACGGTAGCTCTGTTGTTTCGTTTTGTTTTGTTTTTGTTGTTTTTTTTTTCCAGTAAACAAGAAATACTCATAATCTTACTGGTGGGAAAAAAAAAAGCAGTTTGTGAAAAACTGACAATGGAAGAAGAGCTTAATGCTCTGTTTAGCATTTTGTACTTAAAAAAAAATCTCACATTTTATTAAAAAGTGAAGATTGCTGTATACTATTTATTCAACTTATAATTTATGTTACTCTTTGATCTTTGTCTTTTCTCATGACAAAGCATTTATTTAATAAAGTTATGCATTCAGTTAGCTCGTGCTTGACCCTCATGGAGTGTCTGCGTGCCGGGGGCCAGCAGTGAGTGGCACCAGCTAACGAACATGTCCCAGCCGACCAGCCAGCCCTCACGGCTTCCAGCCATCAGCATGTGTGTGCCCTTCAGATGCCAAAACCAGCCAGAGGCAGGATTATAGGAGAGATGGAGGGAGGTACAAGCAGAAGAATAATGTGATGGCGATGGTTTGGGAGAGTTTGCTACACTGGAGCGATCTGCTAAGGCAACTTATGCAATGATAAAAGTGCAAGTTCGAGTTTACAGCCTCCGAAAAGTAGAGAGCAGCCCCATCTTCATTGGCACTTTCCTCTCAAGGATGTGGCACTAGCTTAGCTCAGCCTGGGTTTGCATCATCCCGGTCCTTGGAGGCAGGTGACATGCAGAAGTTGCATGCCTTTGCTGCAGGCACGGCAGGCATGCCTGGCAGAGCACGTGGCCAGTGCTTCCCCAGAGAGAGATGCCCCCACTGCGGCAGGGCCTGCAGCAGGGCACCCTGAGGGTGCAGCACTCACTTTCGGCCACCTTATGGGGGTGGGAGGAGAGACCTGACTGCAGGAGATGCTGAGCCCCCAGCTGCAACCACAAATTGAGCCCACGATTTGGGAGCAGACGTGATGTCTGAGCCTCAAAAATCTCTGGGTAGCAGGAATACTTGCCCAAATGTCTGGCTGTGCAGAAGCATCCCTGCTTCGTGCCTGCCAGGAGCCCAACCCAGCAGGGCAGTGGTTGGCAAAGAGCTTGTCTCAGACCTTGGGGCCATCCCACCAACACTGGATCTGACCTCCTCTCCTGCTACACAGCTGCCACCCTCCAGCCTGCCGAAAAACCACTATCTTTCCATATTATAGACTCACCCCTTTGTCTCCCCTCTTCCCCTGTACTGCCCCATCCCTGCCATGCACGACCCAGCTGTCAGCATCGTCCCACGTGTCCACAGGTTGGAGGGGAATCAAAATTGGCCCCTTTGACCCCCCCCGGGGACTGTGGATTGCTGAGGCATGCAGACATGCCTTCCCCACCCCATGTGCACCGCACTGGGACGACTCGGCCCCCTTCTCACCCCATAGCACAGTGAGGGCTGAATTCAGGAGAGTGGGGCAAGGGGTTTGCATCCCACCAGCGCTGCCTGTTCCCGCACCACCTGCAACCCCTCAAAGACCAGGCCTGCTTGGTGCCACCACTCCGCCAGCAGCGCCGGCAGGCCTGAGAGCCACACGGTGCTG